TGCTAAAGCCAGTAGGCAAAGGGATAGGCAGAGAAGAGTCCGGGCATCCCCAGACCAAGTCAGAGCAGTCTACCTGTCAGGGATCCTATATATTCAGTTTCAGATAAAGTATCCTGTTACAAATTTCAGTCAGTCAGATAAAGCAAGTCTTAAACTCTACATTAATAACATAGGGAGCGCTTACCGCCGAGAGACGTAACTCGTCCAGGCTAGGGAGCACTGAAACCCGTTAAGTGAGATTTTTCAATTAGGATCTCTTACCTCTGTGTTTGGCACCACGGGTGTCAGCTGTTACCCCAGACTGCTCAAGACATCAGATCAGTGTTCCGCCGCATCCCACCGCTACCACCAGGAACCTGTTGGGGAAAACTTGTCCCCGGGTTCATTAGGCAGAGTCTCAGACGAACAACAACATAAGTTTAAAGACTTGATTTATTAAAGAATGCATTCTGAACAGACAACTGCCCGAGAGGAAACTGTCTGTTGTTCTACTTCGCGTGCAGCTTGATTATATAGCAAGTATGATGTAGGAAGTATGACATCATATGCATAGTAACAGGTGCATTCATCTATTTAATAGCCACACTCGTATCCTGTTTTTACTAAACTAGAATTGTTCCAATTTGTGCTTAGCCTAGCAGTTTGGGGTCATGCCCTTTGACTTCCTCATAGCTTAAGCTGTGTATGTGACCTGCTCGCTTACACAAAATGGCGATTGACTCCGTTCTGTTCCCCTTCACATATACACACTCGAATTGTGGCACACTGTGACCTGCCAGACAGCTGACTCCCCAGGAGCCTCTGCACTTTTTCCTACACTGCTACATCCCCCTATTCCTCCCTCTCCCAACCCCAGTCTGTCCCTCACCCCCGGACACCTCCATTTCCATTTTCACTGACTGATTTTCTTGCCAGCATTGCATGCCAGGACAGCCTCCACCTTTGTTTTTTATATGTAGGATTCACACAATACTATGAAAAAACTCATATTTTTCTTTTGTAATTTATTCAGGAAATAAGTAAAGCAAAGTCATGAAAGAAAGATAGACATATTGTTCGTGGAGCGGATCAGCCTGTGGAGCAGTTGCTTGAGGGCAGCTTGGATCTCCTTGTTCCTCATGCTGTAGATGACCGGATTCATCAATGGAGGCACCACACAATACAGAACAGCTGCCAGGAGATCCAGAGGGGACGGGGAGTCAGAGACGGGCTTCAAGTGGGCAATGACAGCAGTGGAAAGAAACAGGGAGACCACGATAAGATGAGGAATGCAGGTGGAGAAGACTTTCTGCCGGCCCTGCTCCGAGGGGATTCTCCACACTGCGGTGAAGATCTGAACATACGACACAACGATGAAAACAAAACAGCCTAATGCTAAAAATATATTCAAGACAATTGCTGCCAGCTCTCTGCGGTATGTGTCAGAGCAGGAGAGTTTGAGTAGCTGGGGCACTTCACAGAAGAACTGGTTGATGGTATTTGAGTGGCAGAAGGGGAGACTAAAGGTGGTGCCAGCATGCAGGGCAGAGTTCATGGCACCAGCAGCCCAAGCACAGGCAGCCATCTGGATGCAAGCTCTTCTGTTCATTATTATCCCATAATGCAGTGGCTTGCAGATGGCAATGTACCTGTCATATGCCATAACCGTGAGAAGGGATACATTTGCTCCCAAGAAGCAGAAGAGACAAAACACTTGGGCAACACATCCAGAGTAGGAGATCGACCTGATGTTCAATAAAGAGTTAGACATGGATTTGGGCATGGTCACTGAGATGGAGCCAAGGTCCATAATGGACAAATGAATCAAGAAAGAGAACATGGGAGAATGAAGTTCATAGTTTAGAGTTACAATTGTAAGGATGAGGAGATTCCCCATCAGGGCTGCCAATTACGCTGCGAGAAAGTTAACAAAGTGTTAGATCTGGAGTTGCCGAATATCAGAAAAGCCCAGGACCAGGAATTCAGTCATGGTGGTTTAGTTGGACATTTCCCTCTTCACACATAGTGCAAGGCCTGTGAAGGAAGGACAAGAATATTTGCCAGGATTAATGTTACAAATATAACAGGAGGCAATCTCGTATCAGATACAGCTCATAAACTAACTGTCAGTGCTGACTTTAAATGCTGTAAAACTGTCAGTGGAAAGTATTATTGCTGGGAGTATGTCTTTTTGAGTATAAAAGAGTTCCGCAAACATCCTTAACAGTGGTTTTATATATATAAAACCACACACAAGAGAGAGTATTTCAGAACAAAACAAGGTTTATACTTATGAATATCAGTTTTGCAACATGTCAGACGGTTTGCTTTTAATTGCTTCATGCTCTCATTCTCCTTATTTCAGATCTCACTATGAAACCATCTCCCTTCATCAAATTGGCAGACCAGAGTGCGGCATTTTGTTGCTAATAGCAACAACAGGAAAAGCAAGAACCCCAGCAAACTTAAAGGCCACAGAAAGATCAGACACACTGAAGACAGCACTTGTGACTACAATAAGAAGCTGGTCAATAAACTGCTAACACCACCCTTTCCTCTTCCCTGCTATATACAGCATTATCATAGACAGCATCCTAAGTGTCACCTTGTCTGAAATGAATCTATACTGAGTTCTGCCTGCCACGTGGTTATTAGCCAATTGATATGGTCCCCATCTGCATCTGGACCTCTATGCCATGATAGGCCAATACCATCCTTCTGTCACCTTCACATTGTGTCATTGATCTTTGTCATTTGGGGACAAGAACTTTAAGCTCTTTTGGGGAAGGGATGCTTCTCACTATGCATTTGCTCATCACACTTTGGTGGGTCCCCCAACCCTAATTTGAGAGGCACTCGGATATGTCAAGTACATTTCCAGGGGGACCAACTGTGCAGCTTACTGACTTCTCCCTCCTCCAGGAATTTTTCTGGAAAACAACCAAATCTGGATGCAATGCATTTTTTTCTGGAAAAACAACCAAATCTGGATGCAATGACTGAGGTGGGATTGTAATACCGGTGTTGCTGGGCAATACTGAATCTCTGATGTGAGGCTTAGAATATAAGCCTAGAAAGATCTTTCTTATAAAAAGGTCTTTTGCTAAACATATACTTTTTCACAATACATGTATTTTCTTCAGAACCATCAATCTATGAAGGAGAACCATCAATACCGGGGTGGAGGGATAATCTGGTGTAAAAGTGCAACCTCCAGGAGCTTTTGACTGAAAAATCTCAAGTTGCTGAAATGCTGCAAATCTGAACTTCCTACCAAGAACCCACACGTTTCAAAGGGAGCTGTTATCTTTCCTTTCTTGCCTTTTTTTCCTTTGACCAGTTGAGTATTTTGAATACCTTACTATTAAGATGCTGAGAGCTTTCCAGCTGAATGGCATATTCAGGTTCTTCCATACCCCACACATCACCCTTCTTGCCACCCAACCATATTTAATTGCAATTAAAAACTTACTGCAGCATTCCTTGTGGAGTTTCTCAGCTTACGATAGATCCTCCAGATTCTTAGCTTATTCTCCCTCTACTGATCTATCTAACCTCTACACACATCCCTCTTCTTACCAACCAATCACAGTTAATTTGACTAATAAACTTACAGTAATGTGAAGTTTTTTCTCAGCTTGTGATCTCATCCTCCAGTGCCAGGAGTCTTTGTTTATTTTCCCTCTCCTGATCTATCTAATTTCCCTTTTCCTTGCCACTACCAAATCTTCAGAAGTCAAAATATCTTAGTAGGAGCTATCTCCACTCCAAGACTAACCTGACAGAAGTAGATCCAAACCAGTTTCTCTCTGCAGATGACAGTGAACGTCACTGGTTTGGAAGAACTGATGCTGCAGGCACGTGATTTATCCACATCTCTCTTGTTAGGGCTTCTGGGACTTATTCCCTAGAGCCCAGCTTACCTCTGAAGCACAGAATCAGAAACAAGCCTTCCTGTGTTCATGTATATTAAAGCAAAAAAGTTTTGTTTTGATTCTTTACTTTGATCATCTTTTTGGTATTGTTTTCTACTTCCAGCCCAGGATATGTGTCATCTGTGGTAGGCCTGTGCAAAACGGCTAGTAGTCACTTTGGATTCAGTTTTGTCTGGTTCACGGAACAGTGGTTGGATTCAGTGATTCAAATCGCTGTCCCAAATCAATTCAGCCAAATCTGATTCAGAGATTCGACCACTGCCAAATTGGCTTAATCTCCGAACTGAACAGGCCCAATCCCCCACCCATTCTCCCACCCCATCTGTGGCCACCCTGTCCGACCCCAGCATCCGGACACCTTAATCAAACAAAAAAAAGCCCCACACTTACTGCCTCCTGCCAGGAAGAGGGGCAATCCCTACTATCCTGCACTACCCCACGCTATGTGGGGGGGGCTCAGCCATTAGCCCCCAGAGGCTTTACAGCTGCTGCCGCAGCCGATGAGGGCAGGGGGTTTAAAAAAAAAAAAAAAGGGGGGTTTAATGTGATCAGTAGTAAAGCTCATCAGGAAATTTCCCTTCAAACCCTTTTTGTTTGGAAAGTGCTGTGTTAATATAACCGGAAAAGTTCACAAAACCTTAGTCATG